GTTAAACCTACGTCAAACGTGTATGCTAAAAAGAGACGTATAACTCGTCTATTTTTAAAAAAATCAATTATTTTATTAATTTTTATTATTTTTACGCGACAAATTTCTCAATATAATTTACATCATTTTATTAAAAAAAATTTATATGTTGTATAACGTCAATTTTTTTTTTTTGAGATGTAAAAATTCTTAATAAAAATTTTATTACTTCATAGAGGTTATAAATTGTTATACTACTTTTTCGTCTTGATTGTTTTTATATTTGAAAAAATTTTATATATAAAAAGAATTCAATCATTTTTAGAATTTCTTTTATTATTGTTACATTTTCCTCTTGATAATTATTTTTTTTTCAAATGACGTCAAAAATTTTATTAGATTATTTGAAAAAAAATAATTGATTGAGAGGAAAAAGTAACAATAATAAAAAAAATCCTAAAAATTATTGATTTTTTTTAATAAAGTAATAAAAAAAATTCGTCACTTTTTTTAAAAATTTGATTGTGACCCTCCTAATATAAAATGTCTACGTTCGCCCTCGCCCATATGGTAATCGCAGAAAACTCCATACTATTCTTTGGAAAATTAACCGTAACCATGTCTTTTAAGTTGTAATATCATTAATTAGGTTAACCTTTTTTTTAATTCAAAAACCAGGTGATAATTAACATTTTATTATCTTTTATATTATAATATTAATAACATCTTCTCTCTATATATATTTTATATTATATCTTTCTCTCTCCATTGTTTATAACATCTCTCTCTATATATTTTATCATAACCTTCTCTCTCTATATCTATATCTATATCTATATTCACAAAACCACGGCTTCATTTTAACCATAAACAAAGGGAAAAATCAAGAATAAATCTCATATATCTAATTATGGTGGTTGCTGGCAAACTTTGCGGATGAGAAATCGTGTGATTGGTTGAGATCTAGCTCCTATTTGGCCCCCATTTTCTAGAAATGAAATTGGTGAAATAGTGTTTTTTTTGAAAATTGAGTGGTCGAGAAAGAAGAAAAGTTTTCGATTTACGTGTAATATTATTTTATGGAAGATCATGTGGTTGAAAATAGAAGAGAGAAAAATAGAATGTAATCCAATTTAATTTAATGGGGGCCAAACGGGGGCCAAATGTGTCATAGGGTAGATTTGTGTGATTGATTGATCAGTGCCGCCACCAACTCTATTCACCATGGCAGCCAAATATATGTGTATTGTCTCTAAACTTGTATCTCTAGTCGATGATTTAAGTGTAGATATCATCCGGGCCATGTTCAGTTTTATCACAATGGTTATTGCTTTTACTTTCTCTATTTGCTTTTCTACTGATATTTGGCTTGATTTTTGGTGCGTTTGGGAATGTATTAAGCTTGGATGTGGGTCCAGGTTTGGAGATGATGTTGAGGTGGTCATGCTGGTGGTGTAGTCCGACAGCTTGGGCGGTGTTTGGATGATGCTAGTGGTGGTGGTTAGGATTTGTTAAAAGTGTTGGTGGTGGGCATTTGGTTGACACTGGAAGTGATAGTAGTGTCAAAGTGGTAGTTACGACGAAAATCGAATAGGACCAAGTTTATCTGCATTGTGACTATTTGTAATACGATCTATGATAACTGTGACTGTATGTGACTTGATTACATAAAGTCACAAATTAGATTGATATGATCACGATCATTCACACTGAAAATAAAATTGGTCACAATTAGTTACAGATAACATAAGTCAGTAAATGTAGTAACGTTGGAAATGAAGGTGGTGAATTGTGGTACTGGTTTGTGGTGTGTGAAGATTTGTATGTGGTGACTCTTTGTGGTCAAATATTTGTTTATTGTTAAAATTGTAACCCATTCTATATTAGTTATGATCGATTGTGACTTAATCACATGCCGTCACAGTTAAAATTGACTTAATCACAGACAATCATATTGAATACAAATTTGTTCGTAATTAGTCATATTGAATACTAATTTGGTCACAATTAATCAGGGATAACACATGTCAGTGACTTGATTATAACTTGGAAATTTTTTGGGTGAGTGTGGTGGGGTAGGGTAGGGTATCATGGTTACATGAGGTGGAATGCAATTTCCAATATTTTATTTTTGAAAATTTTTTGGGAGGTGGAGGCGGGGGTGAGGTAGGTAATTTCTGTGAGTGGGGTGTGATTTCTATTTTCCAATTTTTGGAAATATTTTGGGACGTACGGGTGGGTTGGGATATCCAGAAAAGGTATTCAAGTTTTGAAAATTTTTTATGGATGGTGTGGGGTGGGACGGGGTTGGGTTGGGGATAATTAATTTCAATTATATATATATTATTAATTGTAATTAACACTTGAATTTTGAAATAATTTGACAAGTTTGTTAATTTTGAAATGTAATTCTTATATGTAGGAGTTGTGTATTATTCCCATATTCCTTAGATCATCTCTAACCTACATTGTACCAAAATTTAAGATAATTTTTGCATCATTTTATACTAAATCTTGCACCAAATTAAAACTTAACTCGGACCATTGCACCAAAATTTATACCAAACGAACAATGTTTATAATTTTCTTCATTTTTTATTCTTAACAATTTATTTATTTGAAAAATTATTTTACAATTACATAAATTACCAAATAAATAATTACGTTAAATTAACGAAAATATTAAATTCATTAATAAATATAAAAAATATAATATAATTAATAAAAATGCTACAAAAAAGAAAATATTAAATCATCCCATTAAAAATAGTGCAATGTATATATGTAGTTGTTGTAATATATTTTGTGTTAACTTTAAATAATCGTATTTGTTATATTTTAAAATTTTTTGGTATTATTATTTTAATTAATTCGTTAACTATTATTATTATTACACAAATAATAAACATTTATTGTATTAAAAAAATATATAACACAATCAATCTGTTTGAAAAATGAAAACAAAGTGTAAAACTAATTTTGCATTATTTTGCACAAAATGGTACAAAATTTGGTGTTAGGGCATTTCTAAAGGAGACACCAAAATACCAAATTGCACAAAAAAAGTGTAAAACTACTCCAATGTAACACGAAACTTTGCACCAATAAATTTGAAACGTTACAAACTTAATAGGATATATATCAATAAATGATTTTTAATTTAACAATATTATTTTCAATTCGACCTTCTAACCTAGACCCTCTCTCCGGGTCGATTTTCAAAATATTGGAATTTATTCAACAGTAATTCCTCCTACAAATGCCAATAGACAATATTACTTACCAATTACCAGAAGATTAAAATACGACAAAAATTTAATTAATCAAACCTCAAGTAATCTCCGCAAGTGTCTGGTGGCGGCAGATTTTGTATTTCACCTATTACACTTTGAGGGACGTGATGTTTTGAAGAAAATTCGCTGCTAGAGGAAGATTATAATCAAGAAACAACAATTTCGGAAAAAATAAAAATAAATGCTCAGGAGCTGAGTTGAAATTATATCATTCACAAACCTTTTTTACACAATTACAAATAAATTTGATACTGCCGATGCCGACGAAACACTTGCCCTTTTCCCCTCTGCTTCACACGAATTTATCTTACCTTGAAGAGAGAGGCTTTTAACTGGGCTTATAATAACAGTGGATAAAGCGTGGTTGTTTGTGCAATTAATTCGTCACCGCTATTCACTTTCACAATACTGATCTTTCGTGAGGATATCTTTATCAACGTTGTCCAGTGCCCCACACGCCCTCCACTTCGACCCATACCACACTGCCTATGACCCTTCGTCCATACATTCACTATTCAACATATGTGATATGCAGTAATAGACATGATTGGATAAAAATGTAAAAGATTTTAACTTTTACTGTAGAGTGTCCAATATTGTACGACTCACCTTACTGTTGAGCCCAAAATAATAGTGCCTCACATTCTTGGCCCTTTAAAGCTATTGGGCCGGGTTTACTGAAATGGCCTTGATCCAATTACTAAGAGAAGCGTGTTCTCTTGAAATGTGACTTCTGCCTCTTTGAAGATATAAGCTGGCCATATATCTGGTCATCTCCTCACTGTTGATCAATGACTTTTTGACTTACCTAATTAAAACGTTTGGACGCCTCATTCTTCCTTCCAGAGCGATCTATTCTGAGTGGATTCTAGGGTTTCTCTTTTTCTCTCAGACTATCAATATTTTCTGAGTGAAAATTTTTCTGTAAATTTGAGTGATTTTGTTACTGTGCTTGATGTATAATTTTGATATTGCTTAGTACGAATTAGTGGTGATGTTGTGATAGTTGTGTGTGAGGCGAGATCAAAAACAGTGAAGAAATTTTGTGTTTCTTCGTACATTTGTAACATTTTTGGGAAAGAAAGGTTTCAAGAGTCATATTTGACTTCTTATCTAACAGGTAGATCCTACTTTTCTGCTAACGGTCAAAAAATGAATTCTCAAAATTACTCCCAAACAAGCTCCAAATATTTTTTAGTGAAGTATTTTTCTATTTATGGTAAAAAAAAAAAATTGGCCCATTTTAAAAAATTCAAAAATTCAAATTTCACTAAATAGTTTACGACGGCTACATGGCTGCCTGACCTGCAAACAGGCAGCAGTGTAGCTATTTGCTTGAAGATGCAAAAGATAGTTACTGTATCTATAGAATCACTGTCCACTTGTAACACGAGCCATAAATGGCCAATCATGCGAGTCGTTGCTCGAAATTGAGACTTGACTGGAGCTTGGCCCGATGGCATGAACTGTGAGACTTTTTTCGAGCCAAATCACAGGCGGCTCGAGTCGACAAACCAAATTGACATAGCTAATTACAAGTTAAAAATTAAAAAGTAAACTATTGAAATGTATATGATTTTTTTCTTAGTTACTGTCGTGCGCAGCCTTGCTCCAGTATGAACGGTTATGGTCTTTGCAAAAATTAGAATCTTTCCAGAACTTTCTGGATAACCTTTCAAACTTTCTGCCCAAGCAAAAAACTTCCTTTTTAAGCCTTGCCTCATTTGCTCTTCTCTATTTCGTACTCTCCGCAGCAATTTGATCACATCAATGGCGTCTTACCTCGCTTTAAGAAGGCTTGTGTCATCTAGCCTCAGCTCGCCGTCGCTCCTCCTCTCTCCGGAAACGACGGTTCGTGTGGTAGCACAGCCGCTGTCCTCCCGACTCTTCAATACCGCCGCCCATGAGTACGACAGCGATGACTGCAATCCAGCTGTCGGACCCCGATCTTTCCACCGCCTTTGCTCTCCTTTCTCAGTTGGTCGTCTTCTCCCCCTCTTCTGGTCTTGAAGTTATCTAATCTAACTTCAGTTTAATCTTCTTGAAACGTGAAATCAGATTTTGCTTTACGTATCGCGTGTTTTGAATATCCCGACCTTGATTGATGATTTGATTTCTTTTTCGTTGTTAATAATCTCTCTGGTATTTGGGAAATGTCATAAGAAATTTGACCTGTTTGTGTAGCAAATATTAAATTTCAGATGTTTCGTGTACGATATTTGATTTTTCACGAAAAAAATTAAATAAAATTACAGGAATAGAATGTGCAGAATTTGTCTCGAGTACGTCTGTTGATAAACAGCTAGAACTATTTGTAAGTGAAAGCAAATTAGAGTGAAATTCTGAGTATGAATTGAAGGACTTTTTGTTAGCAGTTCATAGAATTTGATCTCGTAAATGTAAGCGCGAAATATTTTAACCATGAAATTCCTTTGCTGAAATGTATGATTTCATAATACAGAATACTGTAATATGTTAGAATATCAACGTGTTGATTCCCGATGTACCTTTTTTCATAATTTTTCGGGAATATTTACATCTTGGAATTTCGAAATGCAGAGGCAGTTGATCCATTATCATCAAGGAGCATAAGCCAAATCCTGAACACGATTGACCTATTTAAGTACTCTCCTCTTGCATCTGGCATTCCTCAAAACTGTGATATGCGGGAGACGGGCGATGGCCTCAGTCTAAGGATGGACATGCCAGGATTGGGCAAGAAAGATATCAAGGTCTCGGTGGAGCAGAATACTCTGATCATCAAAGGAGAGGGTGAGAAAGAATTCGAGGACGACAAGAGTGGTAGGACACACACTATCAGGATCGTTCTCCCTAAAAATCTGTACAAGACTAATGATATCAAGGCAGAGATGAAGAATGGGGTTCTGAAAGTGTTGATACCCAAAATTAAGGAAGAGGAGAGGAATGATGTTTTTCATGTGCAAGTTGAGTGATTTTGGGGGCTTTCTATGGTTGGTTTTTTGTTCATTGGAATAAATGTAGTGATTGTATAATATGAATCTCTCGTTTCTTTTGTCAATATAATGGTTGAGCCATTTTCAGTGCCCATGTATGTTTGATGTTTATTACCACTACTTCATTACATTATCTAATTTCGATTTTACGAATTACTTAGGTCGATGAACTAAATGACTGCTATTAACAAAGTGATGATTCCCTTCTCAAAATTTAAGTTCATTGCTCTCAATCTTGGATAAGAAACGAATGAAGTCAAAGGCTCATTGCTTGTAACGTCCATTTTATTCAGTCATACATAGTAAACAAGCACTTCGTGATTTTGTATGCACATAGCTCCCAAATCGATCAAGAATGATCGTACGAAACAAACTGCACAATTTCATAATATTCAACAAATGTTGAGCTGGGAAAAAAATCCAACAAGCTTGAGAGGTAATTGTTTTTTGCAGAAGTTGCTCCTATGAAGCAATAAGAGGGGCTTTTTACAATTTGAATAGGTATTATCTGGAAAGCAAAATTTGGTACATATATTCTGCCCCGTTTGATTTTCATTCTTTGGCCACAAAAATAAAAAATATGACCGTTATCTATCTTTTATGTGGGTCCCGTAATTACTATATATTTCATTATTATTCTTACAAAAATGGGAACCAAACGGGATCTCTGCATACTTCCTCTTTATATGATCGTCTTGATCTAAAGTTACAAATAATTTTGGAAAAGCAAACACACTGCAAATTAATTTTAAGTAATTGTGAAGGGAGAATCCAAAATTGTTAATGCTCCTCCTCGGGCTTCTTGGGTTTGCGGTATTTTTCTTCGACTTGTTTGGCCGAGTAAAGTGCCTCATTGAATAACTTTTTGATGTTGGGAACGTTGTAATTCTGAGCTATGTAAACTCCAAACACGGTGCCTGCAATGAATGAGAACTTATTCATTAATATACCCATCGCTTCTTCTAACGCTTTTTGATTCTTCTTCTTCTGCAAGACTTGAAGAGAAATATTTGAGATTTTGTATTGTTTTCAATTAATTGGTTACTGCGTATTTATGCATATATGATTCTTGTTCTGCACGAAAGAATGAAGATATGGGATTTTGTTGTTTTGTTATGGTTTGGAAGGATATAGAGCGTGTTTGGTTAAGCTTAAAAAAAGTAAATTATTGTACGGTTATATTTTAGTTAAACCAAACATGCTTTCGAAGACTTGGATATCAATTCACATAGGGGTGTTACCTGGCCCATGGGCCTTGAACTATGGTGCTCGTCTTTTACTCGAACGACTCAAAATTATAAAAAAATAATTATTTTGAATCATTGCAAGATTATATTTTAACTTATTTTACTTGGGTCAATGTACTTAAATTTAATTTTAATTAATTTACTGAAATTTAATTTCAGTTTTCACCACTTTGTCCTGGCTCTCTTTCAAATTGATAAAAAAAATAAAAAAAAATGTTTAATTGATAGTGATACTAGGACAAATATTTCATTTAATCGCTACATAACATGTCCGAATATCATCACATCACGTTGTAAAAGTTTTAAATTAAAAAATTACACATATTTTAACCTTCTTAATCTAAACATATTCTCGTAACCTTAACTTTACTAGTTTTTATGTTTATGGTGTCACATAGTAACAAATATCACTATACACTATGATTGCCACTAAGCAACTGTCGTCGATACAAGAGATATGTGACGTCACATGATGGATTGTAAAATCTTAAATTAAATTGAATTTTAGTGATGCAATCAAAACAAATTAAAGTTTACGTCATGTTCAAATTTTGTCACGTCTATTAAAAATATAATTTTTAGCTAAACCAAATAGGAGCTTAACGGTCTTTCAATTTTGGTTTTTGGTCACATTGTTTGATACTTAATTTTAGTTCGGTGAATAGTCAAACGTCATTTTTATTTGAACCTTACTACATGTACATCAAAGTCTACATAAGGGATTACATAATGCCCACATAGCATTCTATTAGTTGTCAGATTAAAATACAGTCTACTTTTTCATCCACATCATTTTCGATAACCGCTCATTTACCATTTTTTTTATGTACAATTAGCAAAATCCTTTTTATTTCCACATTATTTAACAACTTTTTTATATACACAATCGAAATAACCTGCTACTTATAATCTACAATTTATTATTATTATTATTATTTTCATAATTAGCTGTCTAGTTGAACGAGTGTGCAAATTCTAATTTTTATTAACACTCTTGGTTCGCTTTCGTTATTACGGTATGGTTGAAATCTCGCATTCAAATAGAAACTCCACACAACATATAACCCGTCCACGTTTATGGTATTTTAAATTAAAATTGTGTGGACGGTATAACAACCAAAATTAATAATAATTAAATTATTCAACTTAAGATCTCTAATAAGATTTAATTAGCAAAAGCTAAGATATGGAAATATGAGAAATTTTTGTTTCGAATAATATTACTTTTCTTTTTGTTTGTCAAATATGAAATATTTGTTAATTAATTATTTTTCATTTTGTAATTATGCTGATCGTGATAATTAATTATATTTTAGGCCCGTTTGAACCCTATTATTTCCTCATTAAAATAAAAAATATAATCGTCATCCATCACATCAAACCACTATATTTGACTTTTTATCTTTTGTGTGGGCCCTTAACAACTATATTTTTCATTCTATTTTTACAATAATATAGTTCAAACAGGGGCTTAGTTTCTAACGAAGCAAATAAAGGACAATGACATGGTCCCTTAAACATCGACAACTCTCAAAATAGACGCTAAACTTTAATGAGTATGCTGTTTAAGTTAAAAATGTGGAGAAAATTCAAATTATTGTTCTTAGAATCGATCCAAAATCATTGTTTTTTACTAAAAAATAAAAAAATCGAGAATTCAACAAAACTTATCAATTCACAATTAAAAACGGTCCGTACATCTTAAAAATATTATATACAAAAATTCTGTGTAATAATATCATGGGCCTGTTTGGGAGCTATTTTTCACCCAAAAAATTGATTTTTTTACCGTTATTTGACTATTTCAACCATTATATTTGACTTCTTCTCTCACAGGCGAACTCCACTTTTTCCTTAACGATAAAAAAATCAATTCTCAAAATCACTCGCAAACAGGCTCCATGTTGAATCGAAATTGATTTTTTACGAAAACTTCCGAATATATTTAGTATAATAGACGAAATTTCAATTTCATTGTATTAATTATTAATTAGATAAGTAATTTTCAATCAATTGTAGAATATAATTCATAGTACCAAACATGGTCATCATGTTACACTATTCTAAGAAAAAGATAACATTCCTAACGTTATAGTATTTAATTTGATAACCTTTTGATATTTTTATATTCGTCTATATATACACACTTGATCTTTTACCACTGTCCCGCAAAGATTCTGAAGAATGTGGAGGATCACAGCCTCATAGGTGCTATTTGTCGACGCCTTCACATCTTTATAAATTTGTAAGATTTCTGATATCGATTATTATGATTTGATAAGTATTCACATGTACTTGGATTAATTTATGCGTTAAAATTTCCACTTTTTCATTTGATGCAATTAATTGATTTGTACTTATGGATTTCTATTTTCTTCATCGATTAATTCTGTATTAATTCGGGTTTTGGCTGATGCTTTGACTTTTCTCAATTCAAACTCTCCATGCCAATTATTCAATTTCTGCTGTCCTGATTTTCTTTCAGTTTTTCGTTTTACATACTTAGAATTTTCCAATTTAGTATCTGCTTCATCATTGCGTGGAAAGTGTTTTTCTTTTCCTGGAAGATATATTTCATAGACTAGTGGTGTTCATTTTCATAGAAACTCTAGTTATTAATCTTATGAATGCTCTTATATTTAAATTTTTTTAACTGTCAAAACCAGGTTTGTTTACAATCAACTATGATTTGACTTTTACAATTACTGCTTACGACTTGTACATATGAAATTCTGGGAATACCAGTGCTTCACTGCTTTGAGTTAAGGAATTTATAATCGGCAGAACAAAAACAAGATGTCTGTATCTTTAATTATCTGTATGCTTATAGTTTAGATGCCCATCTCATAATTAGAGGTCTGATTAAAAACACAGCTGTTTATTGAACTTTAAGCAAAATGTCACTTGGACGACCGAACTTACCCTCTGTTTGGGATTCATTTTTATCTCCTTAAATTCTACTTTATGAAAAGTAAAATTTTAGGAACAAAAAATGAAAACCCAAGAAGCTTAGTTCATAATTTTGCGTGACTTCCTCTACCACGGTAATTTGCACCAATGATAAACTTGGCGCTGTTGATAGAAACGCTGGTCTAGACATAAATCAGTTAGTGATGCTAGCATGTAAAAAGTGTGTAATCAAGGAGAGAGAGAGGAGGAACTAGTTTTGCTGACTGAAAGTAAATAGCTGGAGAAGAAACAAGTGTTACTGTCTTGCTGAATTCAGTTTCTTGTTTTGATGTCCTATCTATCCTTTACTGTTTTTCCTTAATTGCTGTAAAAAGAGCAACAATTTTTCTCTTCTTTCAGTTCTAATAGTGTATTATCTTAATTGTAGTGCAGTTTCTTGTTTTCAGCCAAGAAGATTCCCTCAATAATGTGAGAGGATTTCTTCTTGGGAGTTAAGTCAAGTCTGTGACTCTCCATACATTTATATTCCAGGATCAGTTTTGCGGGCAAAGGGACATGCTAATTTGGTTCTCATGATAACATTGGATATTGATCGTGGTGAAAGAACTGCATTTGTTTCCCATGGGTGTGAACTTTCTGTCGATTTCGGTGGTCTGTACCTTTGTGAGCTTCATTGGCCTCCAGTGTTGGATGGGAAAGTCACTAGAGAAATATCGAATTGATGGGTTGATTTTTGAGGATTTTATTAATTCAGGGAATGCAATACTGGTCTTGGATCTGCTTTTGGGTTCATACATCACACTTGCACTGGTGGCCAGCTTTGCACTTAATGTAGTTATCACGGTAATTTTATGTCTGAAGGTGAGTGTTTCTTACATATTCTGGTTGCATTTTAAACATATTTTGGTTAAATTCTTTTTTCTTATTATCAATTTCCATGATTGGCATGAAAGTGTATAGTTCTGATTTAGCAACTAACCTAACTGCACGATGGGGTTGTTTCAGTTTTATGCTTGTTTTCTACATAAACTCTTCACTTTAAAATCACACATTAACTTTGTGTTACCTAGCAATTTTTGAAGAATGCTAAGTTGAGAGATGCATGATTTTTTATCTTCTTGTGATTGAGTTGACATCGATTGGTTTCTCGTACATGAAGCCTAAAACATTTTCTTGTGTGGCTTTACAAATGGAAAGCATTTTGTTTGTATTTGTGGTTTCAGTTCCTTATTATTCTGACATTCTTCAAATAAAAATAGAAAGTTGGGAATAAAACATTTCATCAGCTGCTATATTTATTTTCAGTCGTCAAAAAAGTGATCAAGTGAATGGCTAGACTTTTCACCTGTCTGAAGAACTTGGGATTGAAATTGGAGAATAAATTTCTTTTAGATGAAGTTAGGTACTCTGAAAAAGAAGTCTTTCGTGCTCCTTTATCTAAGACTAGCTATTTTTAGTGTTGAGGAAGAGTGAAGCTTGAAATAGTTATAACAAGAGGAAGTTAAAAAGGAAAATAAATAAATAAATAATAATAATCCTCAACAACCTTTTGCAGGCACTATGTTCTCTCATTTTGGAGGTTCCTTCTTCGCATTAAACTAATCGGTGGACAAACACGAGCTTTACTGCTTGTCTTTTGCGCGTGCTTTGTTTTTCTTATCTTCAATTAGTAGCTTCTTTGGTATCATGCTGTTAATGTCACGTCTAAATATAGGCATCTCTCTGGCGTGTCGATTTGGGCATGTCAACACACCATCGAGTATGTTGAAAATGATGGATTAATTACCGCCTACCTAACTAGGGACTTGCATAAGAGAATAGGTTACATGACTTCTAATTTTTTGTAACATATAGCATGAATTAGTAGGATAATTCAATTATTGCGTGTAGGATTTTAAGTTTCCTAGCTTCTTTACCGCATTCATGGTTAAAGATCTGCATTATTAGGACTATTTGGCATATTATATGCCTTCGTTTAGATAGCATTTGATATATAGTTTATAAATTCGGTTAAAGTCAAACTTAAATTTCAACTACGCATTCATAACTACTGCTATCCACACATTTCGTGTGACCCACCACTATTCCTCTTTATAAACCATTTATAAATTTGCCACACGGAGGCGTAGTAATAGCATAATCGGGCCTGATCGACAATATAGAGTGCCAGGCTGCCAGCTGATATGAAACGGATCTGGGTGCTGCACTTAAGTTCACTGTCAGTTTGTATTGACTTTCAAGCAGTATTATGTTTTATAGGAAGATGTAAGGCTTGTACAGTGATGACGTTTTCATAGGCAATATGTTCTTCTTTATGCAGAATATCTTCTTTTCAGAGTTGAACCCTTCTGAAATTCGGAAGCTAGTCGAACACTTCCTTAATTATGTTATCTACAAGGTAAGGTCTTTGGTTAGCGACATGATGAATTTTTATTAACAAATCTCTCTCTGTGCTTTTTCCTTTTTTTTAAATTCATTTTGGTTACTCATGTTTTTACTTAACAGTGAAGATTGAATATGAACCTCATTTATTTTAACATCTATATGCATTAGATCTTGTTTTGCTTTGCTAGTTGCGAATTAATTTGCCTTGATGGAGAAATTTTATGTTATTAAAATGGTCTTAGAATTGTCATTGTTAATAATCTTATTTCATGGGACTTATTGAGCAACCATTGTTCTAATGTTAGAATGGTGATGATCTGCAATGTTTATTAAGAGGACATTGCCTGGTCAGTTGAAAAAAATTGCTTACAATTTATAAATTTTAAATCTTTGTTAGACATAGTAGGGATTTAAATTTTTAGATTTTGCCTAATCTGTTAACTGTACTTTATGGGGTAGCTATTAGATGTATTTGTGGCTATACTTTTCCTTACAATTTTCTCTTTTTATTACAGCAGTCGCTGTCAGTGTTCTATTTGGAACTTATTTAAGGCTCGACCTCCTTTGGACTATTGTTAGCGGTGTGTTGACATATCTAAAAAATTGCATTATGCCCAGTCCTTTTGAGGAAATATTAAGGCGCTCATGATTTTTAATAAAAATTTCGACAGGTTGACTTTTATTTTGTTGTAGTTTTTAGATAGTTTCTTAAATAAAGCATTACCCGTTGGCAATCTGCAAATTGATGAATATGCTAGAAGTAGATGTGCTGCTTGAGCTATTTGATTAGATATGCTTATAGAAGTTTAATTTATTTGTTTGGCAGTGGTTTGATACCTTGATTATAGGACTTTTATCTGTATCTAGATGGTGTAGTATTTCGTGTAATCAAGTTTCATTTGCTGGAAAGACAGCAAGTTCCCATGGTTAACGGTTTTAGAGTTATCTTAAAATAGGGATGGAAATTACACCTGTGCTGCTTATAGAGTGAAACATATACTTGTGTAAGCGTCCTATGGAAACATTTCTCCAGAACATATTTCTCTGTATATTGATGAGTGCTTCAACAGGGAACCTTTCTTCCACTAGTAGTCTTGCCAACCATATCTCAAGCAGGTCTATGGTCAACTTGGTTGGCTGTGCTCTGTTTTTTAAAGGTATTCATCAATATATGCTTTCAAGCAGTAGATATCCTACAGAAGCACATGACACCTTAATTAATAAATTTACTTATCATGCAGATGTTCCAAGCTTTAGCCAGGGAGCGACTTGCACGTTTAAACACTTCTCCTTCTGCAACTCCATGGATATACTTTCGAGTATATTCTGCATTGTTGCTTGTTTTCTTTGTCGATTTGCTCTGGTATTTTCTGCTGCCCTTCTTTTGCATGCACATCTAGAAATTTCTGTTATTGCTTTCACAACGTGTGGACTTGTCTTTTTTGAACCTTTTCTCTTAAATAGAACATCAAATGTGTTTGAAATGTCACATTGACTGCTTCTCAAGCTAGGCCTGGGATTTATAATTTTTTCTTAACAATTGCAACACAAAATATTATGTATGAACCTTGGCATGTGTGTTGCACCCACTTGACGCCTTTTGATTTGTTTATATATATATATATATCATTTTCCGGAGGATCCTTTCAAGACTTGTTTGGTCATCTCACTATGGACCTCTCTAACAAGCCTGTTCAATATTAATATCTGGAAGCCTTTTCGTAAAGCTCATATTGCCAACAACGATCCAAGTCTGTCTGTATGTTGGCCATCAAAGTCCATGTATTCAGCGAGTTTATGACACTTGCCACCCTGTTTCCTTGGGTGTATTGCACTTGCATTCAGGCTATATTCTTACAATAATTTAGACATGATTCTTCTGTCTCATTTATGATAATTCTTCCTTCCACTCCATTGTATGTCAAACCCAATAGTGACTATATGTTCTAGATGAATTCTACTCGAGAGGATGTGTCAATATTTTCAGACTGAAGGTTGCTTTTATGGTGAGATGGTTCTGTGGAACCGTTCTTATACAGCCATGCATGAAAGAGAACCAGGAAAATATGCAAAAATGGTATTGTACATCAATCAGTAATCTCAAGCACACTTGTTTCGTATGTAAGACGCCCTGCAGATTATTTTACCATTTTGAACAATGGGATGAAGTTATTGAGTTATAAAATTGTTTTATCCCAATATCAAGGTTTACCATCATACAATATTAATCAACATTTTCTAATATTTATGGAACTCTTTATTGCTAAATGCTATTCTCGTTAGAAATTTCTGACATTATCTTTTACCTGTTATTGTAGGATAAGTGTATGCATGACGACATATGGAACAATAAGTTCATCAATGTTTTTCTTGTTGTTTATTGAGCCTTCAAGCATTGCTTTTGAGACCCTACAGGTAATGTTGAATTATCTATGACCCATCAATCATGTTTATGGAATTTCCATATGGAGATCAAAGTTTCCAGCAGATGGTTGACAGACTGTTATCTGTAGGCCATTATGGTTCATGGATTTCAGTTGCTTGAGATATTTCTTCATCATTCTTCGGGAGACAGTGCAAAATGCCGATTTTCAAAACTCGTCGATATATCCCCTACAGGTGCTTTTGAAAATTCTGCTTTCATGTGCTATTTCTATTTTAAGTGTGCTTGTTTTACCTTGATTGGGTATTCATGCTTCATGATTCTATTATGAGCTCTGTAAAGAAGATTTTTGGTACTTGGGTTCCATAATATGTTTAATGATGATTTTCTTCGTTCAGTTTGTTGCTTCTTTGCCCTAAAAAAAAATCCTTTTTTCCTGTAATGCATGATGCTGTATGTCTGATAGATTGTCAAAGTATCCCTCCCTTAGTAGAAATTTAGGCTGATTCAATTGAGAAAGCCTGTTAGCCATCGATGTGTGTATGAAAGAAATGCCAAAATAATTCCTTTATTGGTTGAGCATACTTTTAGACATTGTCACAGTTGTCTGATCTTTTCTCCATTTATGAGGTGCTTTACTTTTACTAGAAATTTGACAGATATTCCATTCTAAGTCTCCACATATCAATATTTGGTTGTTATGCAAACTGTGAGGATTTTTTGGTCTTTTTTTCCTTTAAAAGAAAATTATATCATCCATTGACCCGCCCCGCCCAGCCCTGTGTACTCTACTGGATCCGAAACGTAATGTGCATCAATGATAAATACCAACTAAAAGTTGGACCTACCATCAATGCTACTACAACTACAATGTGCAACTTTTTATAAATTATTTTTAATAGAATTTCGACATCATCTCCCCTGTAAATGGGACTAACCAACCTGTAATTCACTATGCACAAATCCCAATATATAACACAATACAATAGAGATAAGCCGAAATCTCAATTTATACTATGAAAATAACATGAAATGTACATTTGGATGCAAAATACATAGTGAGCCCCATAACTATCTACAAGTGATGCAAAATCACATCCGAAAATAAACATGTGTCCCAAAATACTGACTACATACTCTATGAAATGAGTCATACAACAAACTTTGTCTTGTGGCTATGACTGCAAAAGCAAAGGCTCAACTTCTAAAGATTTCCAGAAACTTAATTGTTATCTGATAAGAAAAATCATGGAAAAATATATGAGTTGATAACTCGGTGAATGGAGAAATTCAAAAATAAATATACTTTTTCATTTATACATTTTTATCGAAACTCAAGTATACACTAATTGACAGTTCACAATCAGCATATAATGATAGTAATCAAGATGTGAGACATCCGCATAATGCTGAAATATATAATCTTATAGTCATAATATAATCCTCAACGCAAATTTATAATATCTCATCACACCACATGTAATTCACAAAAAAGTTACCATCTGACTAAAATTTGTAATCTGCCCCTGAGCTAAGAACTTTCACCACGCACCTTTGGCTCCCCTTCATGAACAAAAGTGGGTATGTGGACCTCTTTTAATTAATTCTAGAACATGACCAATGCTTCTCTGTAAACTATATGTTCACGGTCAAGACCAATGTCCGATCAAAACCCCTCCGTGTAGGATAGAACATGACCAAGGTCTCTCTGAGAACTAAAAGAAGTATATAATCACGGATACTTTTCTGGTCGATCTCAATATCACATGTCACATTCCAATCCATAAGTAATCCAAATACAACCTTTACGATTCCAAATATATTATAACGAAAGAACCTTTCATAATAATCTCGTAATTGTACAAGAAACTCACATATTGAACACAATGTAATAGTATAATTAACGTATCAATATTTGAAAATATATAAGTTTTTCCACTCATAGAACGATGTACACAAGATCAACTCGGTTGGTAAGCTGTCTGATATCCGTATCGCGGTCTGAAATATAATTTTTAAATTAACAATTAACTATTTTTAAGAAATTCTGATAATTACATAAACGATACAAAAACTTAATCTTTTCACGTTTAAACTATTTCTAAAGTACCTTTAATCACTTAAGCTAAATTTTCTTTCATTTAACTTAATTACATAGCTCATTATACTTAATTCAGTGATTTCCTTCGATAAAATTGAATTTAAACTAACAATTTGACAACCCTAAAATTAAACATAAATTTTTTTACTTATCTTTTGAAACTAAAGAACTCAAGCTTAATAGCATAAACCGCTTATGTTTAAACCACGTTGTCGAAGTTACCTTTTTTTTTTTCTTTCCTCTTTTCTCCCTGCTCTCATTTCTCTCTCTTGCTGTGTATTATGTGTGTTTGTGTATGAAAAATGGATTTGGATTTGTACCACAATTGGATTGATGTAAATCAATCCACCGCCCGCCATTTTTTTGCATGACATCTTTGACTTCTCTCTCTCTCTCTCTCTCTCTCTCTCTCTCTCTCTCTCTCTCTCTTTTTATTAATTAAGGTATTACATTCATATTGTCCTTGTGTTGTTTAAGGCCCATAATTCTGAATTCATAGTGATATCCGAACTAGTAGATTTTCTGATCTGTTACTATTATATTTTTGAAAAAACGTTGCGACTGTAGGTTCATTGTGGGAATGGAAAGGCATTCTTATTCGAAATCTGGGGTTTTTCCTTGATGTGATGACTTTGTTGATGGCTGTAGCCCATTATTTGTACATTTGGTGGCTTCACGGCATGGCATTTCGTCTTGTGGATGCAGTCCTTTTCCTGAATATCCGTGTAAAAGTTCTCTGCTTTGTACTGCAATTCTGATTATATGTATCCTTCTTATTGTTGTTGCTGTTATTGTCACTTATGTAGCAGCTGCCCCTTTGGCATCTTTCTGTTCTTTAACCTGTTCTTATGTTCTGTCTGTTTTATGTATAGGCTCTCTTTACTGCAATTGTGAAACGGGTGAAAGGTTTCATAAAACTGAGGATAGCTTTGGGAACCCTTCATGGGGCACTTCCTGATGCAACAAGCGAAGAGCTTCGTGCATATGATGATGAATGTGCCATTTGCAGGGTGAATTCCTTTCTATCTTCCTCCTCATCTCGTTTAGTTTTTTCAATCTCCAAGCATGATACCTTCCCTGGGAATGTCAGGAACCAATGGCTAAGGCTAAGAAGCTGTCCTGCAATCATCTTTTCCATCTTGCATGTTTGAAATCCTGGTATGACCTCCATAACAGATCGAAAAGCATGTTTACTCTTACCTGAAATTATGGGAAGTGAAATCAGATGCTACATGACATATCAATACCAGGTTGGACCAAAGTTTAAATGAGAACCACTCGTGCCCCACTTGTCGTAAGCCATTTTTTGTGTCCAGCCCAGAGAACAGGGTAACCCCTCATGCACCAGAATTTTCAACGGATGAGCTGCTTGCTCGTCAAATGAGTGCTGGACTTGATAGACCAAATCTTCTTGGTCGTGGCTTGCACTCTGGAGTCTCTCCAAATCCAGCGCAGAATGCAGAAAATGGTGATTGGAGGTTGAGATACTTTTTAATGCTTTGTTATGCTACTTTCATTGTGCCATGTCTAGAAAATTCATAGGTGGGAGAAAGTAGCAATAACCTATGATGCTCGGACTCGGGTATCGGGAATGGGTACGTTTATAAGTGTCGGATCTTTCATTTTTTTTAAATGTAGGACACGGGGATATGGTTAAAAAGAGTCCAAATTTCGGACATTGGTACTTGGGTACGTCTTTCAAGTTTCAATTTTTTTATTATCCCAAGATGTCATTTTGACTAAACCAAAATCAATTGTTCAAAAAAAAAAAAAAAAAAAAAGAAAAGGAGTTAAGACGAATAAAATAGAATTTTGGGATTTAATTTTCAATTATGGAAATTTATTCACTAAATGTTATATAAAATAGAAAATGAGGGACTTGATTGTAATTTGAACTTAGTTGAGCACTATATAGAACTCATTTTCATATATGCTGACAAAACCTTAAATCACCAATACAGAGAGTGAAAGAAGGAAAAAAGAAGAGAAGGGAAAGAAAAAAGGAAGAAGAAGGGAAACCTAGAGCTGTCGCCCTTCTCCATCCTCTCGAGGGTGGCGCTAGGTTTATAGAGTGCAAAAAGGGGAAAGAAAAAAAGAAAGAAGAAGCGAAAAAGGCAAAGTGTCCGATTGTAATTTTGAGGATCCGACACATATTTTGTATCCACACCCATGCCATGTCGTGTCGTATCCAACACGGTACTCCTACCATATCAAAGAGTTCGAGCATCAGAGGCAATAACATTTATCTCATAACATGATGTGGCAATAATGAGACCTCTCCTAACAATTAACATTTTATCTGGCTTGTCTCATATGAATACTGCCCTAGTTCTGGTCTTGTGTTATAGCTTATTGATAGTCGTGTAATGCTCTAATTTAGTAGGTATAGCAAAGTTTAGTCTTTTTATGAAATGTTTTTTGTTGTTTATTTTGTCAAATCTGATTAGCTCCCAAAGCGAATATGGTTAATAGTTCATATTCTAATTCATAAAAGATAACACTTGTTGGTTCTTGTTGCATTTGGGATGAAAACCAAGTACCGTCTATACATCTCTCTTCTGTGTTCCTCTATATGTTGTATCTTACATCGCTATTCGCTATTCCTTCCCACGGACAAATTTTTTTATTTTTTATTTTTTATTATTATTTTTTTTTTCCAAACAGGAGAACAGGAGATTCCAGTTGGATGGATTCAGATAGAGCCGGCCCAACTGGATTGAGTCGAGTTCAAATGGTGATGAGGCAATTTGCAGCCACCCAGACTTCCCTTGAAGACGTTTCATGGAGTCTGTTCCCTACGAATCCCTCTCAGGTGGGTACATCCAGGTCTGCTACCTCTCCTGGTTCTGTCATCTACCCAAGAAGTTCTGGTGGTTTGCATGTTAGGCCAACATCAGAATCTTCAAACGACAACTTAGCAAATATACTTGCCATGGCTGAAACAGTTCGGGAAGTACTACCCTACATCCCTGATGACATAATCTTTCAGGTATACTTCCATTTCAACGTTTATCATTTCTTGTAACCACTTCAATTAAGCTGTTCATCATTTGGATCAAAACATCTGTTATCATCATGATCAAAACTGTTTAATGAAGGAGAATTGATGAAAACCTCAAATTCTGAAAGGGAACGAACAGCGATAGTTGAACTGAACATGCATGTCAAAATCTGTTATGGACTTATATATTGATCTAATTGATTAGATTTGCATTGTTTTGAATGAAAAATGCTTTGATTTCTTATTCTTTTTCTACTTGTTTCTAAATCCAGACTTAATGTAATCTGCAGGATTTGCAGCGAACAAATTCTATGATAGTCACTCTGAATAATCTTTTGCAAATGCGATATTAGGTGCACATTTTTTCTTTTACATTTTCCCTTTCAAGGCAAGGCCGTAACAGTTGTACGCATATGAAAGCTTATTCTCCAACAGTCCAAAATTTCATAAGCTTCATTTCTGTATGTAGAAGCTGGTTATATATCATATGTTGCCATTTCAAAAAATATTTGTTCTGTGCTCAAAAATTAACATGCTTCTTATCACTTCGACACAAGGGTTTTTCAAATTTTACTAAAAACTCTTTAGTTTCGAGGTGATCAAGAAACACTGAAACAGGGAATTAAAAAACCTGCCTGAAATCTTGAAATCAAACAAACAAGAAGTTGAGGTACAGCCAAGCTTCATGTATAGAAATTTTTTGTACAGAACCATTACAGAATACACATATGGCAGGGTAGGTGGGTTATTTTTTGCAATATTTTAATTCACCACCTTGTGACACATCTGTAAAGTTTCTGTAAAAAAATTTCTGTACAACCAGCTTTTTTGAGTGGAGGTATTATCTGGGAAAACCCGAGCCAAATTCTAAGTTTCGTGATTTACTAATTCTAGTTTTACTTAAAAGAGGAACAAATTTTCATTCATTGATCAATTTGAGGTAATTTTTGTGCTTGAACTCTCAAACTTCTGTTTTGTTGGCCTCTAGTGTTTTAAAACTCCAGTACAATTAATACATTTCTTAGTTTTTTTATTTTTACCTTGACGTGTGAATCTAATTATACCCTTGTTTGGGTAACCATTAAACTCAAAATACATTTTTTTGAAATTTATATTTAATTATACATTTTTTAATAAAATAATATTACATGTAAAGCGAAAGCACTGCTTTACTTTTGAATCACATATTTTCTAAAAAATTACTATTTCAAAATATATTTTTTTCCAAAATTTCATTAAAATTGAGTCCAAACAACGTTTAAGTATTGAACGTAGTGTAATTTTTTACTAATTGCTCGAGTTTAGATTCAGGATGACGCAACTTCGTTGAAATTCAAAACATATTGAGACAAATTACTAATTTTTTAAGTTATAGTCCTCTTTTTTTATGATTTTAAACTAATATTATTAAAAAAGGTGAAAGTAATTCGGGAAAAACTAAAATATATCTGCAACAATTTTATTTCTCATAGTCAAATGAACCTTTATAGTTGGAATTACTTTAACTAAAGTATTGAAAAATATTAATTTTAAACAAAATATTACCATTGCAATTCAAATAAATAAATAATTATACTATTAATATAAAAAATTGACAGATCAATTGAATATGTAAACCCTAAAATGGTGCTATATATGGGAACATTTTGTGACGAAAGGAACGGGTGAATTATTTATCAAATGGTAGTGATAGAACTGTGCATCTTGGAAGAGTTGAGAGGAGCCATTCCTTTTTGATGAATGGAATTGTTGACGTTGAAATTACGATCAGCAAATTCATTTCAACTAACCAAGATTTCCTCCTTCTAAGCTCACACCGAAAGAAATTTATCTTTTTTTTACAAAATTTCCATTGACAAATTGAGATTTATAGGCGGAGTTCACTTTTTCCAACAAATATGGCATTTCGTAGGACTATGATTTACTTCAAAACTTTCAATAATAATTAACTTTTATCTTTCTAATTGTTTTTTCACTTCAAATATACATTTCATAAGGACTAAAATTAAAAATAAAAATTGAAAAAAAAATTCCACTTACCAGCCGACAAATAGGTCAAAAGCTTTGTCGGCGAAAGATAAACCTTGCCCATCAAAATTTTTGTCTAGAAATTAACTTTTATCTTCCTCATTATCTTTTCACTTCAAATATACATTTTATAAGGACTAAATTTAAAAAAAAAAATTGAAGAATTTTCCCTCTCATTATTAGCCTACAGATAGGTCAAAAGTTTTGCCAACAAAAAATATATCTTGCCCATTAAATTTTTTGTGGGGAAAAGTACAAATTTTTGTAAGCACGAGTCTTCCCATTATTGAAAATTTTGAAATAAATCATAGCCCTGCGAAACATCATATTTGTGGGGAAAAGTGAACTTTGCCTTCAAATTTTAATTTGTCAATGAAAATTTTGTAGGAAAAAAGATAAATTTCTTGTAGTGATTATAGTACCAAATGCACTTTTAGGAGCTTAACAAAGTAAATATATTCAATGAATAAGATATTGTATAATAGTGCTAATTGAAATATTTGGAGAGTTTTAAATTATTATTAATTATTAAAAGATTAGGAAAACGATTAATTTAATAAACAACTATTTATATAATGGTACAATACACTACAGCTAAATTAGATGAACAATACAATATAGCCAAATTAAAGGTACAATGTATTACAGTCAAATCAAATAGATTCTTATTCCACATCAAAAGTTTATAATAAAATGCTTGGAGATGTCTTCTATAAATAAGTGAGTCAATAAATGGGCAAGCAATTTTTTGGGCCATTCAATCTAATTGGCTAAAAGTTAAAAAAGATGATTTTTTTTTTTTTTAATTGGAATAAAGCTACTCAAACAAGAATAGGAATAGGGTTTGGTGACAGTTACTATGTGGCAGCGCCTATCTCGTTGATTTTTTTTTCTTTTTTTTTTTCAAATTGTCCAATAAAAAAATGACACGTGTCTCCTTGTTTTGAATTATGTCATTGACCCAATTTCATTTAGCAGGTTGTTTTAATTATTAAACTTGTTTAAGAGTTGAGGAAAAAAGTTAATTTCAACATTGATTTTATTTTTCTAATTTTTTAAATTTTGGATCGGATATTAGATAATATAGCAAATTAGATATGAATTTAACAATAAAATATTTGTTGGATTATCAAAATGGAACGAATCAAATAATTATTCTCATTGGATTGAATTGGATATTGACAAATCCAGTTTACATCCGATCCAATTTACCGCCATACTTATATCTTGATTTTGAGTAATCCTTTGGCAGACAAGTCAAAATATTGAAATAACACTTTAACTCATAATTACCTAGAATTGGCCAAATATGCAGAAAGCACTCAATTATTTAAAGCAAAAATAAATCCCTAACCATACCTGACAGTGAACTTTTAATTCTAATCCTAATTGCGCACTTAGTCCCTTGTCTTTTCTAAAAATAAATAAAATAAAACTGAAAATGATAGGAATAGAAACATCCCAAAATTGACAAGCAACTACACGAGAATTTGTTTCGTTGTAATTTATGCATGTATAAATTAACGTTATGTGTATGTATTACTTATCAAGATCGAGAATACAAAGAGTTATCGTGTGCATTTTATAGTTATCAAATATGTGAATGTCAATATTTAATCAATAAAGCTTGAAAATTTTGTCTATAATAAAGGACACGAATTTGAAGTGGGATGATGGGAGTTATCATATTGAGTAATGTTATTCGACACCACCTGTATAAAGCAACAGTCTAGATGGCAATTGCACGATATTAAATAATATATTTACTTAAATGTAATGTCACATATTCAATGTCGTCACTTAGATTGATATTCTAGCACCGTTAGTGTTAAATATTATTATTCTATCATATTTCCTTCCATTTGTCGAAATATGTGAATGATAAGTTTCAATTTAAAGCAAATCTTTTGATATCCCAAAATTTCAAATTTTGTTATTAGTGCAAAATAGGAAGAATAAATTCTATACCACAAGGGTATATATTAAAATTTGTAATATAAGTAATGATATTATGATCAAAAAGTGTTTTTCCAGCCTATGCATAGTGATGGCAATGGGTCGAGTCTCGACTCGACCCTTTAACCCACGAGCTAGGCTTAGGCTCGTGGTTCGTGAAAAACAAGCCAAGCCCACGAACCCCTCGCGAGCTCGTGTTTTTTTTTTTTTTTTTTTTTTTGGCACAATTTTTGCACTTTTTTTAAAAAAAAAAATTCATATTTTTGGGTTCGTCAAAATGGCTCGTGGGCCTTGTGCCCAGGCTCAACTCGTGGGATCGAGCCCCCTGCTCGGCTCGGGCTCATCATCCGAGCCGCCCACGAGTCGAGTTTTAACGAGCCAACGAGCCGCTCGACCCCTTTGACATCCCTTCCTATGCATTTTTAAATATTTTACAAATTAAATCCTGTTTGATGTAGATTAATATCAGATTTTGACAAAAGTTGTGAGTCTTATGAAATATGTGATTAAAATTAATTATTGACTTTTACTTTAAATTTTAATTTGACAACAGTCTACTCCAAAAAGAGACTAAAAGGTGTATATATTTGGGATCTTTGAAAACTTTTGAAGATTTAAAAAGTTTAAGTATATTCAATCGAGGTTTTCAAATATTTTTTAAAAGTTAGGTGTATTCAATTGAGATTTGCATAAACTTTTAAAAAGCCTCTAAAAATTATGGGGTAGTTAATTGAAAGTTTTTAGAAGTTTCCGTAAGTTATGATGTATTCAAATAAACAATGATTTTGTGGAGAATTCTATTGAACTTTTGGAGACTTTTTGTTGAAAAATATAGATAGCAAATTTTAGAGAAAAACTCTCATATACTCTGAGATTTGTGAAGATTCCAAGGTAGAGAATATAACGCCTTTTTTTTTTTTTTTTTAATTGTAGGATTTTCTCATATCTCTTCAATTCATTACTATAATTATTCTATGATTATTTTATGAGCATGTTTGACCCCCATTTTTTTTACAAAAATGCACTTTGGAATATTAATTTGATAGAAAAAGTGTGGTAATAAAATAAAAATAAGTTTTGAATTTACAAGTAATATTAGTTTATTAAAAATAAGTGATTGAAAATAAGAGATAGAAAAATGTATTTTGAAAATAATGGGAACCAAACAATGACTATATGTACATTATTATTTTTGAATTGAAATTATATGCAATTGATTCAAAATGTAAAATTCCATGTAATCTATCAATTCTTTTTTTTTTTTTTTTTTTTGTTAAAAAAAATTTATTTTTTTTAAATTTTTTTTTTTTTTTTTTTTTTTGGTCAAGAACAATTAGTGTTCTTAGAATTTTTTGTTAATTTCGTAAAAAAAAAAATGTTTATGTTATTATGTAAACGTTTTTATTACTTTATTTACACCAAAATTGAATGACTGAAATGTAACTAGTGACCTTACCCAAAAAATAAAAAAATAAAAATTGTGGGCATCATGTAGTAGAGATATTGTAAATTTTCATGTATATAATGAAATTATAGGATGAAAAACCTTTTAAAATCCCCAAAAATCTTTAATCATACTATACATAAGTCCATGAAAGTTTTTTTTATTAATTTTAACAAATTCATAGAAATCACTTAAAAGTTCATAAAATTCACAAAAGTCACCCACTTTGAAAAGTCTATAGAAGTCTTTAAAAGTCTCAATTGAAAACATTGTATATGTAGTAAATACTTATTAGTAATTACTAATTTTTTTCTTTCCTTTTGCTATTTTTTAATTTAAAAAGAGTTTTTTTTTTTTTCAAAATAATCTTTACTTCACAATCAAAATAAGCAATTGTTGTAAATGGAAAGTCCATTAAAGTTTATTGGCGAATAACATTTGTACCCCTGTAGCCCTAGAAATTATTACCATTGTATCCCTAATTCTTATCTATAAATATAGGGTTTTGATTTTCAATAATAGACATAAAAAGTTTATTAAGTTTTCTCTATTCTCTTTTCCTCTCATTTTATAACACGTTATCAACATGAAACTTTTAGAAGGTAGTAATTTTTTTCATAATCATCTATCACGTATATCGAAATTAATTTGATAATGCGTGAATTTTACATATACATATGTTGAATCTGCAATACGTGATCTCATCTTTCTCGATCATTATGTTTTCTTTGTACCTCTCTTTGAATTAATTAATATTTTTTTCCTTTACATCAATCCATGTGCATTTTTATGGAGATATATTTATGTTAAATCAATTGATATGCATTAATTTATGTTCATATACCCTCCTTATATTTGGATTAGCCCTTTACGTTCTACACATGCTTATAATTTTTTTGGTTTAATTGGTCAATGTTCTTTGTAAGCAAGTTTCAATTCCAGATCTCTATTTTGGCTGATTCCATATATATATATAATATACAATTAACAAATAACTGTACTCAACTCATCTTTTCTCTCAAATCCATTGGTTTCTGCAAATTTCATGCCTTAATTGGTTAATACTAATTTAATTCTTTTAATTGTACATAATTAGAATTTCGTGCCATAATATGTGAATAGGTTTCTACATGTCACCATTTTTTTTTATTTTACTCGACTCACGTTATTAATTCAAAATAATATTACATGTGTTTGTATATTAATTAATGGCGAGCAATTGGATGTATTATCATTTTTTTATATTTAGTTATGAAACATTACATTAAATTTATTTTTAATCATTGTTGCTCCTGAAGTAACACGACATTATAATTAATATTCCAGAAAAATATTAATCATAGATCTATTCGTTGTTGCTCCAGAAGTAGTACAACATTATAAAAATATTATTTGATCCCGAAGAGCATAAATTATAACTCTCAATATTCCAGAAGAATATTGACATATTGCACTTGAAAAAATAATAGCAAAATATAATGTGCTCCAAAAGTAACATATGTTTTGAAAAACATATTATTTCAAATTAGTGTTTATCCCTAAAGGAAAACATGTAACTTAAAGTTATGTTGATATTGACTATTTGATTGACATGTGATGACTAATCATATTCTTCGAAACTAATTATATTTTTTTATTCTGTAGTTAAACAAATGGCAAACATTACGAAACTTGAGTTTGCTGCACTTGACATATCTGGTAAAAATTATCTGTCATAGATACTGGATGATGATATCCATCTCGTCTTAAAGGATCTGGGAGAGACAATAAAAGAAGGAAACAATGAATCCCTGCAGGATCGTGCAAAAGCACTCATTTCCCTCCGTCACCATCTTCACGATGGATTAAAAATTGAATATCTCACTGAGAAAGATCCACAAGTTCTTTGAAAAAAGTTAACTGAAAGATTTGATCATCAGAGGACTAAGTCCTCCCCAAAACTCGTTATGAGTGGATGCACCTTCGTTTGCAAAACTTTAAAACGGTTAGTGAGTACAATTCTGAATTATTCAGAATATGTTCAAAGTTGACTTTGTATGGAGAAAAAATCGCCGATGAAGATATGTTGGAAAAAACTTTCTCCACCTTTCATACCTCGAATATGCTCCTGCAGCAGTAATATCGTGAGCGTGGTTTCAAAAAGTACTCAGAACTTATGTCTTGCCTACTAGTTGCTGAACAAAATAATGAATTGTTGATGAAAAATCATGGATTACGTCCAACTGATTCTGTACCATTACCTGAAGCAAATGGTACTACATTGTCTGAAGCAAATATAATATCAAAACAAGGATGCGGACGTGGACGTGGACACGGATTTGGACACGGACACGAATATGTACGTGGAATAAATCATGGAAGAAATAATCAACAAAGTTATCAACAACAAGACAATAAATTCAAAAGGCACAAAACAAACGAGAGTGACAAATCTAAAAAGGAGCATGGAGAAAGTTGCTTTAGATGTGGAATGAAAGGGTATTAGGCACGTACGTGTCGTACCTCAAAACATCTTGTGGATTTCTACCAGAGATCAATCAAGGGAAAAGAAAATTTGGAGACTAATTTTACTGATTATGATGATCCAATTGATGTGACTCATTTGGATGTGTCCGATTTCTTTACTGATCTAAATAGAAATATTGATCATTTGGTTGGGGGTGGTGTGATAAAAGATATAGATTAATTTACTAGTATTTCTTTCGTTTTAAAAATTCAGTTTGAAATATGTTTTTACTTTTCCGCACAAGAAATAAAATAAAACTCTATTATACACCATTTATTTCATAATATTAAGTAATGTTTACTTCTTTAAATCTAAATTTAAGTTTTTTTTTTAAAATTTTGTTTATTTTGCTATATTTATAGATTCATGATGGATAGTCAAGACAACTGCTTAATTGATAGTGCAACTACACATACTGTTTTTCAAGACAAAAAATACTTTTTTGACTCAATATTAGCTGAAAATAATGTTAACACGATATCGGGTGCGTCGAATATCGTTGAAGGCTCCGGAAGAGCTTGTATTATTTTACCAAATAATACAAAATTATATATTGACGATACATTTTATTCTAGTAAATCGAGAAGAAATTTTCTTAGTTTTAAAGATATTCGCTGCAATGAATATCACATTGAGATGATGCAAGAAAATAATGTTGAATATCTTTGCATCACTTCTTTTGTATCTGGTAAGAAGCAGATAAAAGAAAAATTTCATACACTCTCGTCTGGCATGTATTTTACATTTATAAAAATGGTCGAATTAAATAATGTTACGAACCAAAAGTTCGTTGATTAAAAAAGTTTTGTACTTTGGCATGATCGATTTGGACATCTAGGAGCCATAATGACGCGTCGAATAATAAACAACTCACACGGACATCCTTTAAAGAACCAGAAGATTCTTTTATCTAATGATTATCCATGTATAGTTTGTTCACAAGGCAAGTTAGTCATTAGACCTTCAACTACAAAGGTCAATATTGAATCTCCAACTTTCTTGAAAAGAATACATGGAGATATATATGGGCCAATACACCCATCATGTGGACCATTTCGTTACTTTATGGTATTAATTGATTCTTCTACAAGATGGTCACATGTTTGCCGACTTTCAACTAGGAATGTAGCATTTGCTAAACTACTTGCTCAAATCATAAAATTGCGAGAACAATTCCCCGATTACTCAATCAAGACTATTCGTCTTGACAATGCTGGTGAATTTAGATCACAAGCATTTGATAATTATTGTATGTCAATTGGGATTGAAATTGAACATTCAGTTGCACATGTTCATACACAATGGTTTAGCGGAATCGTTTATTAAACGTCTACAACTTATTGTTAGACCATTACTTATGAAAACAAAACTCCCAACTTCTGTTTGGGGTCATGCCATATTACATACTATATCATTGGTTCGTATAAGACCAACTGCCTATCATCAATATTCACCTTTGCAACTTGCATTTGGTCATGAACCTAATATTTCTCACCTACGGGTTTTTGATTGTGCTATCTAATTTCCTATTTCACCCTCACAATATACTAAAATGGGTCCCCAACGAAAATTTGGGATTTATGTGGGTTTTGATTCACCGTCTATTATTAGATATCTTGAACCTTTAACGGATGACTTATTTACTGCACGTTTTGCAGATTGTCATTTTGATGAAATGACTTTCTTAACTTTGGAAGGAGAAAAACTACATCCTGAAAAACAAGATAAAATTTCTTGGAATGAGACAACTCTATCTCATTTTGATCCTTGCAGCAATCAATGTGAACAAGAGGTTGAAAAAAATCATTCATTTGCAAAGAGTTGCAATTCAACTACTTGATGTATTTGTTGACACGAGAAAAGTGATAAAGTCATATATTCCAGCAAAAAATTAATGTCCCTGCAGGACAATCTGCTGTGGCAAATGAATCTCAAATACACCAGAAGCGTGTTCGACCAGTTGGTTCAAAAGACTCTGTACCTCGAAAAAGAAGAGTACAGGAGAAAAATCAACAAAAAACTTCAAAAGAAATCACATTATAAAATATTGATCAATCAAATATTAAATGTATGGTTCCTGAAGAACCAGAGGTGTCCGAAAATAATGAGATCTCGATAAATTATATGATATCTCATAAATTATGGGAACGAAATAATATTGTTATAGACAATATTTTCGCCCTTAACATGGTTATTGATATTATGCAAAATGAGGATCCTGAACCACAGTCTGTTATTGACTGTCGAAATAGAAATGATTGGCCAAAATGGAAAGAAGTCATACAGGCAGAATTGAATTCTTTGGAGAAACGAAAAGTGTTTGGACTAGTAGTTCGAACACTTGAAAATGTAATCCCTGTTGGATACAAATGAGTTTTTGTACGAAAGAGAAATGAGAATAATGAAATTACAATTTACAAAACTCGACTAGTGGCTCAAGGTTTCTCCCAAAGACCGGGAATTGATTATGAGGAAACATATTCTCCCGTAATGGATACCATCACTTTTAGGTTCTTAATTAGTTTGACCGTGTCACAAGGACTCGATATGCGCCTTATGGATGTAGTAACTACCTACCTAAATGGTTCACTTGACAGTGACATATATATGAAAGTTCCTGAAGGATTTAAGGTGCCAAGAATAAATGATACATGTCTGAGAACTATGTTCTCAATTAAATTGTAAAAATCATTATATGGATTGAAACAATCCGGACGCATGTGGTATAATCGCCTTAGCAAATATTTGCTAAAAGAGGGTTATAAAAATGACAATATCTGCCCATGTGTTTTCATAAAGAAAATAAATATTGGATTTGCAATTATGGCAGTTTATGTTGATGATTTAAATTTAATTGGAACTCCTGAAGAGCTCAACAGAATTGCAGATTATTTGAAAAATGAATTTGAGATGAAAGATTTGGGGAAAACCAAAATTTGTCTTGGATTACAAATTGAACATTTTCCAGAGGGATTATTTGTTCATCAATCTATTTATACAGAAAAAGTCTTGAAACACTTTTATATGGATAATGCACATCCATTGCCATCACCTATGGTTGTTCGATCACTTAATGTGAAAAAAAATCAATTTCGTCCACTTGAAGATGAAGAAAAGATTATTGGTCCTGAAGTACCATACCTTAGTGCAATTGGAGCATTAACTTATCTTACAAATTGCACTCGACCTGATATAGCTTTTTCTGTAAATCTTCTTGCAAGATATAGCTCTACACCAACTCAAAGGTATTGGAATGGTGTTAAACATATTTTTCGTTACTTAAAAGGTACTATTGATATGAGACTATTTTATTCTCAAAAGTCAGGATCTGCTTTAGTGGGATATGCAGATGTAGGTTATCTCTTTGATCCACATAAAGTTAAATCACAAACAGGATATGTGTTTACACGTAGAGGAACAGCTATATCATGGAGATATGTGAAGCAATCATTGACAACAACATCCTCAAATCATTCTGAAATTATTGCAATCCATGAAGTAGGGCGAGAATGTGTATGATTGAGGAATATGACCCATCATATCCAATCATCATGTGGATTGATTTCAACAAAAGATAATCCAACAATTTTGTTTGAAAATAATGCAGCTTGTATCGCACAACTCAAGGGAGGCTATATCAAAGGCGACAGGATAAAACATATTTCTCCAAAATTCTTTCATATACATGATTTTCAGATGAATGGTGACATTGATATTCAACAAATTCGCTCAAGTGACAATGTGGCCGATCTATTCACAAAAGCGCTGCCAACATCTACATTCAAAAAATTAGTTCATGAGATTAGAATGTATCGACTCAAAGATTCTCAGTGATTAATATTAGGGGGAGTAGCTGTACTCTTTTTCCTTCGCTTAGGTTTTGTCCCATTGGGTTTTCCTAGTAAGGTTTTAATGAGGCAGCATTTAATTTTAATACTCCAAAATAGCTGTATTATTTTTTCTTCATTTGAATTTTTTTCTCACTGGGCTTTTATCAAACAAAATTTTAATGAGGCAGATATTTTGTAATATGTTATTAAAGGGGGAGTGTTGTAAATGGAAAGTCCGTTAAAGTTTATTGGTGAATGACATTTGTACCCCTATAGCCTTAGAAATTATTACTATTGTAACCTTGATTCTTACCTATAAATATAGGGCTTTGGTTTTCAATAATACACACAAAAGTTTATTGAGTTTTCTCTATTATCTTTTCTTCTCATTTTATAACAATATATATATATATATATATATATTTTTTTTTTTTCATATTACTTATAAGTAAATACATTAAGTTTTTATACTTAGTTAAGCATAAAATAAGATTTTATTTTAAAGTAAGTAATTAATTTTATTTTAAAGTAAGAAAAGTATTTTTTTTTTTCGAAATTGTGGGAAAAAATAACTATTTTGAATTTTACTTACTCGCACTAATGAAAATGCCCGTTGAGAGAACACATCTAGAGCATGTTTTGTAGAGATTTTAATTCAATTAACATCAATTTTTTACGCGTTATTTCACCATTTCAGCCATCATTTTTGAATTCTTCTCTCACAGGTAGGACCAACTTTATCTCTAGCAGTCAAAGAATCAATTAACAAAATCTCTATCAAACAAGCACCTAATTAGATAGGGGTCATGTTCCCACGACATTTTGGAGCCCTCGTTTGATGTCCATTAAAAATAGTGTGTTGGGAAAAAACAAGTTTTGAAATTGTGATTTTTTTTAGAATGAATGTTTTAAAAATAGAAAAAAATTTAAATTTTTTGTTCGGTAGTGATTATAAGAATTAATTTTTGATTGTTAGAAAGAAAGTGGATTCCACCTGTGAGTGAGGAAGTAAAAAATAACGATTAAAAATTTAATTTTTTAGAATGAAAAATTACTATCAAACGGGGTTAAAAATAGAGCCCTGTTACAGCAACAAAGCTGGGGACAGGTGGCCGAGGTGTCGCGACAGGGGCCCTTGATCTGATCAAAATATCAGATTAAGGGCCAAGGTGGTGCCACCTCGACTCCTATCCCAAGTCCTATTACAAGGCCCTGTCGCTTTAGTGTAAGCCTTACAAATATATGATTGAAAATATTTTTTTTTAAAATAATGATAGACAAACAAGATTTAGGTTTCGTTTGGTACACATTAATGTAAAAATGAAAATAAAAAATATAGTCGTTACGGACTCCACATAAGAGATAAAAATTCAAATTTGATGGTTTGATATGATGAATAACGGTTATATTTTTTATTTTAACCCCCGTTTGACCCCCATTACCTGAAAATAAAAATGGGGGGAATATTATTTTTTAGAAAAATGAGTGGTTGAAAAAGAAGGAAAAGTTTTTGATTTACGTGTAATATTATTTTATGGAAGATTGTGTGGTTGAAAATAGGAGAGAGAAAAATGAAATGTAATGTAATTAAGCCCCTGTTTGATCCCCATTAAATTACATTCCATTACATTCTATTTTTCTCTCTCCTATTTTCAACCACATAATCTTTCATAAAATAATATTACACGTAAATCAATAATTTTTTTTTTTCAATCACTTATTTTTTCAACAAAATACTAGTTCTCCTATTTTCATTACAAAAAATGAGGGCCAAATAAGGGCTAAATTTAATGGGATAAAACGGGGGCTTAACGAGGAAATAATGAAAACAAACGGTGGCTTAGATTCTCCTCGGGTCACTTTTTATTGAAACTTTTTTATTGAAAAAGACATGCTCTGTGATTAACATCACGTGATGTCAAATCTTTACCTGATTTTAGACAAAGCTGAGACCGAATCCAAAGCAAGTCCCATCCTTTTTTTAGACTTTGTTTGTCTATCATTATACCATATTTTATCACATAATTCTTTCATAGAACTCATTTTTAATCCCATATTTTTTATTAAAATAATATTATATATAAATCGAAAAACTCTTCTTCTTTTTCGAACATATATTTTAACATTAATCACTATTCCATAATACATTACTCGCAAATAATGAGACAAAGACACCCCTTAATCAATCCTCAATCTCTTGGACTTTAAAACAATTAAAATAATGATTTTCTGCGCAAATTACTCTAGTACGTGAAAATAAAGACAAAAATTTTGTTTATTGTGCCTCTAATCCTTGTCAAATAGAGTTTTTTTAAGAATAATTTTTGTAGAAAGTATTTTTTTGAATAATGAGTAATTGAAAAATAAGAAAATATTATGAGTTATGTAAAAAATTATTTTAAGAAAATAATGTGTATTTCATAATAAATTTTAAAAAAACGAGTCTTAGAAATTTACGAACAAACACAAGCTTAATAACAGGCAAAAGCTTGGGAGCTTCTTTTGCCCCTTATGTGGTGTCCGAGTTGGTGGAATAGGTGAGCGCAGATATCTTTGATCACGAGTTCAATTCCTCCTACCAATACTTTCTCGATAGAGCTTGTTGCTCCAGACTTGTCTAGTGCGATTTATCTGACTGGCATGATTTGCAGGTTATTGTGTCGGCCTGAGGGTTTACCCAGTGCGCACTTGAAGGATAGTGATTACGAGTTTTTCTGTCATTAAAAAAAAAATGCCTTGGGAGGACTTGTAACATTGCACATGTTTCATGATATTTCTTAACTACTTTGAAAAATAATTGAAAAGTCACGTTCAAGCAAGATCAAACATCTTTTAAATAACAATTTAGCCCTTGTTTGAACCACATTATATTATTAAGAATGCAATTTTGAATAGTGTATTAATGAATATTGTGTGGTTAAAAAATTTAAAAAAAAGTTTTGAATTTGTAATATTCTTTTATTGAAAAATGTGTCATTGAAATGATATCAAATAACTATTTAAGAATGTATTTTTTTGAAAAAATGGAGCTCAAACATAGCCATAAATTTGTCATGAAAAGCGTTTAGTGTTGGATTGATAAAAATTCATCAATTTTTATTGAGAATTAGATAGCAATCAATTCAAAGAGAATAAAACATTCAACAACATGCAAAATTTATAGAGATTCGCTTCAATATGGAATTACGTCATCTCCTATCGCCAAAATAATTTGTTATGATGAAAAAAGAGTTTGTAGAAGAATATTACACTACCATTTTCTCTAACATCTCTTTATCTCTTTTTGATTATAATAATAAGACCTAAGAACGGTTCCTTATTTTATAATATATATTAGGGTAAAATCGAATTTTACAAGCAATCCAATTTCTTAATAGAGTTCTACAAGGACTCCGGCCCACGACCAGCTCCGCGAAATTATAATAATCAGGATTGACAATAATTATACTCCTCGGTTTAACAGTTCCACATTAAAAAAACTTCAATTTTAACCACACAATTTATGAGACCTTAATTTTCAATCGCATTTTCATTAACTTCTATCAAAATTACTTAAAAATGATAATTTTAAGTTCAATTTTACATAATGTGCTCGTTTGAGAATATATTGATAATATAAATATATTTTAAATTAATATTTGACTTCAAATTATGAACTCAAAGAAGCACATATACTCATATAGTGAATAAATTACTTACTTCGTGTTTGGTTCCACTAAAATGTGAATAAATTCAAAGCCAACACTTATTAATTTTAATTGCACATTTTATATAGACTCCGTTTGATTTTCATCTTTATCAAAATATATTTTTCTCTCTTTTTTTTTAATCACATATTTTTCATTAACATAATGTTACACGTAAATAAAAAAATTCTTTATTTTTGATCTACATATTTTCCATCAATTTATATTTTAAAATTCATTTTCCTCATAATTTAAAAATTTTCAATCATATATTTTTATCAATTTTTATCGAAAGACGATCCAACATTTAGTAGACCATTTCAACACCACCAAAATGTTTTATATTTGTCAGGCAATAACTAGTGAGAATGATGCACCCACGTGCCTTGCAATAAATCTAAAAGATTCTTTCGTCTCTGTGCTTTTTCGTCTTCTCTTCAAACACAGTGCAACCCACCAAGTCAAGCAGGTTCCAGCTGGTTCAATTTACCCGTGTTCCAACATCACTCCTCACCCTGCATTTCTGAAGTCCGATAAAAGATTAATAATATAAAGCCAATGCCTGGTTTGAACCTAGAGTTCGTTTGATTGCAATGATGAAATTTAAATGAAAAGAAAATAAATTTCAAGAAATTGAATTGCTTAAAACTTATGTTCTTATAAATTGTCAATTAATGTGTTTAATTGATATATTTTTTCATCTGAAAATGTTGGAAATTTCTATCTTTTGATATTCGTTTGACTTAATTTTTCATAGAAATTGTCAATTAAAGGGACAAAATTTGTTGCAATTGAAAGTAAAATTTATTCCGATTCACCAAAAAAAAAAAAAAAGGCTGGAAAACCAATTCTCACCAAAATGGTGAAATTTGATTTTCCACAAAACCATTGAAATGACATGTGTGGAGGAAAGTTGGAAAATATATTCAATGGAAATTTCTTGTAATCAAACACAAAAAAATGGTGGATTTCCATGTTAAAGATAATAATTAATTTTAATTACATAATTTATTGATTTTATATTTCATCAATGATTATTGAAATACACTAAAAAAAAAAAAAATAGTGAATAAGTTGACAATTGACTTATCCACCTGAGCCCATTATCTCCGTTTGGTAAATTGTAGCGGCAATAGTTTGTAGGGCTTCGTGATTCCATCTTATGGATTATTCTTATTAAAAGGAGTAATTTAAATTTTTATAAATTGATCTATATTTTTATTTTTATTTGATGTGAAATTATATCCTTAACATGTCCCAATATGAGTAGGTCAATCTTGAAATCTGCATACTTATTTCTTTAGTGGTAATCGGATTGAATCGTTTGTTGTAACTGAATGGACTCTAGTACACTTAAAATTTTATTTTAAAATGTCAACCTTATTAAAATGAGTAATTTAATGACAAAAACAATAAAAGCAAATCACATTAGGATGTATCAAGCCAAGTCAGGACAAATAGCACAATCTAATTGACATCTACGCTTCATAGTGAAAATAAATTACTAAGAAGCAAGAGATGGATTACCTTTTGCTGAAATTGTGAAATTTAGCCCATCGAGCACAAGTGTTCAAGGTTCAAATTTCGACAGTATAACCTTTTAAATGGTTATATTTGAAATTTTCAAATGCAAGCTTAACGCAATTCTCAACTTAAGTAGTGTAAAAAAAAGACCGAACTATCTTGAATTTAGATGATCCAATCACATTTGCACCCCAAATTACTATGATTTGTAAATTTCACCGTCATCTTGATTGGTATCATGCACCATGTTATGTTGCATAACATTATTTGATATCAAAAAGTAAAAAATAAAAAAAGTGAGATCCCGTTCAATTATTATGAGCATGTTCGGTACTGTTAGCCGTCATTTTTGAATTCTTCTCATGCGGTTATATTTGAAATTTTCAAATGCAAGCTAAACGCAATTCTCAACTTAAGTAGTGTAAAAAAAAGACCGAACTATCTTGAATTTAGATGATCCAATCACATTTGCACCCCAAATTACTATGATTTGTAAATTTCACCCTCATGTTGATTGGTATCAAGTACCATGTTATGTTGCATAACATTATTTGATATCAAAAAATAAAAAATAAAAAAAGTGAGATCCCGTTCAATTATTATGAGCATGTTCGGTACTGTTAGCCGTCATTTTTGAATTCTTCTCATGCTAAAACAAAATTCACTATATTTCCATCGATAAAAAAATCAATTAACAAAATCTCAACTAAACAAGTTACTGTGCCCACCGAAAACATTTTTTCTAACCACAATCATCCTCGTCTTATTTAAAACCAAATCCACTTTAATATTTCGGCATTATTATTTTTGTTGCAGTCACACCTTCATCATTCCTTCTCTTTTTGACTCCCAGTCTCAAAAAGTTCCTTTATATTCGTCTTGTCACTCTTCAAATTCACACATCAGTTAGCATAAGCAATATCTCACTGGATTTTCTTAGTGAAGAAGCTAAAAATGAGCAGATTCAGGAGATTCGAGCTTGTTGAACGCTCACCATCCTACTTTGTTGAAGAAACCTCCATTTTCGATCACCCAAAAACCCTTAAAATGAGCCCACGTTTTTCTTCATTTCCTGTCTTTGAAGAAGATGAGCTTGACTTGACTCAGGACCTTTTAAACACTGTCCCATCCCCAATTTTTGATCTCCTTTCACCATTCAGTCATTTTGAGAGTATTACTGATCTGATCCAGATCGAAAAAACCCCGTTCTACACCTCAACTCGCCAAGTCAAGCGCAGAGCTGGGCTTGGCTCGGATTTCTACTTGCACTCGCTTTGTGATCGGGTTTCAGCTTTGGAGCTGGGGTTTGGACGGCGGGTGAAGGCGGAGGAGAAGAAGAAGAAAATCGGGGAGAGGAAGTACACATGGACGGCGGAGATTAAGAGTCCGGAGAAGGAAGGAGTTGATAGGAAGTATAAATGGATGGCGGAGATCAAGGACTCGAAGGATCAGAAGAAGGGTTTGGAGAAGAGTTACAAATGGACGGCGGACATCAAGGGGAAGGGCGAGGACTCCCCAATTGATCGGACGTACACGATTAAAGTGTCAAATGCAGGCGACAGTGATGGATCGGAGAAGAAAGAGACGAAGAAGAAGGATGAGAAAGCGAAAGAGAAGGCAAAATCGGCGGCGCCCAGAGCTCGCATTGTTGAAATTGAAGAACCATCTGATCATGGGGCCGTTGTTTTAAGGCAGGTCCGTATAATCAATCCTATGATAATGACAATAATACATTAATAAATTCATATACTTTTTAGGGTTTGTTTGAAGGACATTATTTTCAAAAAAATACATTTTTGATTTGATATCAGTTCAATCACACATTCTTCAATAAAATAATATTATACACGAATATAAAGCTTTTTCTCATTTTTAATCACACATTTCTCGTTAATTTGACATGAACAATGTATTTTTTTTCTAAAATGTGGCTCAAGAAAGGCTTAATAGATTATCATCCATTGTTAGGCTTATTTTTGGGTTTTCACTTTTGACTTGTTGATGCTAATTTATTTATTATTATTATTATTGTTATTGTTATTGGGCCATCCACATTTTTTATAAATATATCTCACTCTAACTCTAAATTCGTCCCTAATAAAATTTTAAAAATTTTAAAAAATATTATTTACACGTCATATTCCAATATGGTTTTTATTAAATTCATTCATTAAAATACTATATATCCACGAAAATTTTATATATTCATCCTACTTTAAACACATTTGTATCACTGTAGATTCGATCAATCCTAAGACCACAAGCTCTTAAACCAAACGTATTAAATGTATGAAATATGATCGAAGGTGAACTTATTGAACATTAATTTAACATTAAACTAATTCTTTGTATATTGAAGTTCTGAATATTAGAATGCTTCAAACATCAAAAGCTATAGAAAGAAAGAAGAAAGTTCGATTAATCAAGCTGAATTTTACTAACTTTGTTGGCTACAATTATTCTTCTTTCTTGATTAACTGATGAAACTGCATCAGATTTTGTTTTGCGTTCTTTGAAATTCGATATGATTACCGGCACAGAAATCACATTTATGGCCACCATCACCTATAATAATATTCATGTATTTTTCTCTATCTATTAGGATTCTTTTTAAGCATAAATGAAAATAAAAATTAATGGATCAATTTAGAGTTATGTATTTTTATTTAAATTTGTTTTTAATGTGTATTTAAGTAAATTTTCATAGGATTTAAAATGTAACAAAATTTAATTTTAAAAAGTGGATGTATATATAAAAAGTATGGATGGAAATAGTGGTACCCTTATTATTTTTAGTGGTATTCAACAGTTCTTGAATGTGGCTTTTGCATAGATTTGAGTAAATTTATGCTGCGAAATTTTTTGAGTGTCTTTTAGAGCACTAGATCTCAGCAGAATGGCTGGTAAAATTTGATTCTTTGGTATATGAATCATTTATTGTTGAGAATGTTGTACAGTTTTGATTTCTTAAAGATTAGAAAAATACTAGATGTGGCAATTTGATTTGTGCTAAAAAAAGTTGGAATTATTGGTGGTGACAAAATGTTATGTTGGAGCCATTGAGGAATTTCAAATAGAGAATGAGTGGCTGTTGTGCTTTACAGAAGTTGAAGTTCATCCTATGACAGACAAACCAGTTCTTTCAGCATTATTGCAGATAATAATAATTTCTTAATACAAAAAACCTATCAAATGCCTCATTTGTGCCTGTAACAGAAGTTTCTCAGCATAATGTACTCTGGATGTATGGTTCCGAATGTCATCATCAGGCAATAATGTTTACTTTTTAGGAAACTACATGTTTAGAAGAACCATGTAATTGAAGAATAACTCCTTTGTGTATTATAGGATTTTTTAGGATAACTTTTCGGGTTCTTGTGTTTGTATTTTATAAAATTCTGTTATGTTTTTCATTTCCTTTCTCTCGTGTGCATTCATATCTTTTAAGCTACGGATTATGGTAACGATTTTAGATTGAATGCAAGGTCAAGAACTTCAGCTGAAATTATGTCAAGAATATTGTCTGTGCTCGCTCCAATAAACAGCAACAAACTATCCGATAGTTACAATAAACATCATTCAGACTTCCGTATAAATTTTGCAGCTTTATTCAATCCATCTCTATCATCTATCAAATTCTCCAGGAATCCTTTCAACCTTTTGATGCTATGTTATTACTTCCTCCCTCATGAAATAAAAAGCCAGAGTAGTTCTCAATTGGGGATTCCGGTCTTTTGTCTTCTTCTTTTTTTTCCCTTTCAGATTATCTCTTTTGTATTGATTTTGTGTAGATTCCATACCTCTTTACGATGTTATACTCGTCTTATAAGAGCAGATTATTGTATTTTAAGCTTTCACCCATGGGAGACGTGTGATTATTTCATGCCTTTTCAAAAAGAATGGAGTCCCCGAACAGAGACTCTTGAGTTGGAAGAAAGCAGAGTACAAGATTGCATTCCGCCTATCCCATTCAGAATAGACTTTTTTCAATTTAAGTTTTCAATAAAATTCCTTGGATGATTTATCTGTCTGTTTACAAAGTCATATGCATTTTGGTTTTAAATTGATCCTGATCCACGTTTAGTTTAACAATAGCATATTCTTGATTTTTGTGGTCACAGGCATTTGCCAAGAGAGTGGAAAAAAGCAAGGGGAAGAGGAAGGTATTGTCTCCACTGGATGCAGCGGCATTGATACAGTTGAGCTTCAGGGCTTACCTTATTCGTAGGTCACAGGCTCTGCGTGCGCTTCGGGAACTGGCCATTGCCAAGACCAAGTTGAAGGAGATTAGGGCCTTGTTCAACAACTTCTCTTATCGTCGTCGCATTTCCCACGATGCAGAAGAGCGCCAGAGGTTCTCGGAGAAGATCATTGTGCTGCTTCTCACTGTTGATGCTATTGAGGTAGCATAGATTGACAACTTATTTGTTATTCAGAAATTTAAGAATGGATACGGTGTTCACATTTCTTGTACTCAAAAGTATGTTTGAGTAAGCTTAAGAAGTTCACTTGCAAGTAATTAAATTAATTTTAATATAACAAATTGTTTTGTTAGGTCAGTTGGAAATAAAGAAGTTACTTATTGTGACTGTAAGGTAAAAATCACTTTTAAGGTAAGTTACTTATCTTTAATTAAAAATTAGAAAATAGTAAGTTAACATATTTGGTAACTTGTACTTCTTTTTAAGCTTAGCCAAATATACCCACAGACATTATTTGGTTTAGAGTAGTCCAACACTTTTGGCTGACTAGTTACCATGCATGTGGTTGACAACAAGACTGATAATTAGGAAGCTGAGATCGTGAGTTCATCATTGTTTGTTGTTTGGGTATAATGTGCAAAACAATTAAATTTACTTTACAACTTTTTGACAGTAAAAAAGAGTCATTTTTTGGAATTCACAGGGTTCAGTTCTATGCTTAGATCTTCTTCGTGCCCATTTATGAGTTATTTGTGCACTTGAGTGATGAACCTCATCATTGATAAATGCCATTTTAGTTTCTGTGTAAAATGCCTTTCTCAATATAAACCGACTATGCTATCTTAGTTGTTAGCATGTATACTGTTTGTGCAAATGACACTGGCAGATGGCTTTCTTGCTCCTGGAAACTGCAACGTTTGTCATTTGCTTCTTTTTACACAGGTTTATATGCGTTGCCCTAATTTATTGCACTAGATTTCTTGTGTGCTTATTTCCGGATATGCAATGTTGACAAGTAACTTGTTCTGTGTCTATTAGGGAGCTGATCTGATGGTTCGATCTGCAAAGAAGTCTATGGTGGACGAGCTGGAAGCAATGCTCGATGTTGTCGACCCCCATCCTCCTGGAAAGTCTCTGTCCATGAGGAGGAGGACATTTGATATGCCTGATGGTGCCATTAATAAGGAACTTGCAGCAGGCGTTGCGCAGGTGGTTCAAATGATCGATCAAGACATGAATGGCCCTGAAAAATTTGAAGCGTGCTTGTAAGTCCAGGTTTAATGTTGGTGAGTCTGTTGTGGTAGGAAGACATATGTTTATTAAGTATCAGTACTATGTTATTCGGGCAACGGATTTTATCTGATGAGATTTTCTTTACCACCTGAGAGAGTTTATAGTCTTCCTCCGTTTGTCTTTGTGTCTGTGGATGCTATAATTAATAACTATGTTTTCCTTTTTATCGTTTACTTTGCACTGATGGATTCTTCAATTTCTATTATGAGATGCATCAAGTTGTTTGGTCATTGAAATTCAATTTCATTGCAAAACTGATTGCTGTGTTATGTCCCTTAATAATTTAAATATTAGACGACCCTTTGAAAAATTAGCTTTAAGATTTAAGGGCACTAGTCTCCCACCTCAGAAAAAGCAGAAAAGTTTTTCTCCCGTAAATACTCGATATTTTTTTTTCATAATCTCATTATTTATCTCCTGTAAAACCGATATTTTGAAGCACTTTTTCAACAATATTTCATTTGTACAATATGTTGTCTATCTTCTTTAAGGTCTCGTTTGGTACCCATTTTTTCAAAATATTTTTTTTTCTCTCTTCTTTCAACTACACATTTGCGGCTGCTGCTATTAGATGATTGTAGTTTTATTCCAAAAGGGTAACATATTAGGTCTAGTAGAAAACTCCTCGTAAGCCCATCATTTACCAAATGTCTTGATGAATGTGAGACTTTGTCAAGTCTCTATGTAAATTTCTGACAACTTAAGTTGAGAAAGTTGCTACACGTACAAGATATGGATGACAAGTGGGAAGTCTATTGAAAACCTAAATCCATGCATTGAGGGAACCGCAAACTTTCTTTTCGACTAGAAACCCTTATGTAAACCTTCGAATTAAAGAAGATACATTTATATAGGAGTTTTAGATGAGCCATAGGCTCAGGCAATACAGCCAAGTTGAAGTCGCCAAATTGTGAGAGGCTACTTTCAAATATACTGAATAAGACTCTATGTTTCTTATTGTGAGAGGTTCTCTTATTAAATAGAACCAAATCAAACTAAATATGGTAAATGAATAAATTTATATGGTACAATATAATTATAATATAACCGTAATATTTTGTAATCTTTGATGATCGTCACAATCTTTTATTTAACCTCATTAACACCCCCTCAAATTGATGCTATTAATTTTCAATCTTGAACTACGACGATGACAATACTTATATCCACTAAAAAGAAATTCAAATCAGAGCAACCAACTATGAAAACTAACTACGGCGAGAAACCAAGAACAACAAAAATAGTGCAGAAATAACCAAAAACAATTTCAAAGCCATTCCAGAGAGCTCAGTCCTCAAGAAGAATTTTCAAAACAAATTGAAGAAGTGTGCCAACACACACAATGAGCTCTATCTGTAGGGAGAACTCAGTCGAATACATAATTTGCGTTCCGACAAAAGCTCTAATACCAATACACCGGCCAAAAATCTAGCAATATATCGCTGACTAAGATACAGCAATTGGAAGAAATTTCACCAAAGCCTACACCAAAAACTCAAAGTTGATCCTTTTTCGAGAATCCAAAATGCTAGCTCATCAGTTGAGCAACCAAAATCCAATGATTTGCACCATCATGTCTCTCTCATCCCTTCACGTTTTTTTATATAAAATTGTACTTTATCCCATGTTATCCAAGGAAGAAATTTCAACCCACAATAAACTTAATCAACCAACTTAACTAAAGTCACCCGAATTATGCTAATAAATCAGCCCAGATAATGCACCAAACGATCATCAAACTAACGTTAATAAAGCAATCCAAAACTGGCTAAGCAATGCAGCCCAAATATGAAAAAACCCAAAAATTAACCAAAAACGAACAGCCCAAATTAAGAAATTAAAAGCCTCAACTCAAACTCAATTATATTGTTCTTATGGCCAAATAAAAATTCCAACCCACCAAACCATATTCAGTCCTTTAATCCCAGCCCCATTATCACTTCAAACCCTAGCCCAAGATGCCCGCACAAACTTAAAATTTATAACCTACACTCAGCCTAAAATCAAATCAACTAAGTAACCATAAGTTAGCGGAGTTATTCTAAAGTCCATTAACACGATATAACCCAAGCCCATTACACAATATTTTCAGCCCAAACAAAAATCACCCCACCTTCAACATAAGCTGACCCATTAACCAATCCAATCCATTACCTATTAACCCAGCCCATATCCACCATCTGCAACCTCCAAACCATATTCCAATCTAACCCGCCACCAACCACATCTGCTAACTCTCCACACCGGTTGCTACTGTATTAAGCACAGTCGCCTTCTCAACCCCACTTGTTGTCACCAATCCGCCACCACCTCTGCCACTCCAACAACCACCACCAAGCCTCTACTGTGTAATATGTTGGAAAAAATGAATAAATGACTCACTTTTGACAGAATTTTTTGTGGGATCTGTTGATCCAATTTGGAAGATCAAACTTGATCCGTGTTCTTCTCCGTGAGAGCATCAAAATCATATATTTACTTGTCAAAATTGATGAATGGATGAATGAGAAATTTGAGCTCAAAGATTACCACTGAAAGATAATTTATGTGGGAAAATAATGTTTGTCCCACATAGGAAAAATATGAAAGTAAGAACTACTTTAAATATGGTTGCATATTGGAATGACGTAATCATGTGTAGTATAGAGGCTCTCTCCACGTGCGCCCGCAGGGGGTGCAAATCACGGATCGAAATAACCTTCGGACCTTGAACTTGTGTACGGGCGCGACTTGCGTACATGAATATTGGACCGAACGGAGCAAAAATTGACCCGTTTGGAATGTCCACGTTTTGTAATTTTTTTCTTGCTTTCTCCACTGACTCTTGAGTTTTTGAAACTGCAGACACTGATGTAACTCCAATGGTTAATAGACAGATTAAATCTATATAATTAAACTCAGTTTCCAGCAATTTTCACAGATGAAAATCGTCCTCTACCTCTCTGCACTGTTCATAAAAATCACAAGCACTTTCTGTCCCTGTCCAATAAGGTCGTTGTGATGATATTGTTCAGGCGCTAAATCAGTTCGATGGAGTAGTTTCTGTAGTGCTCAGATTCTACGAATTTTACCGTTGTATCCTGAAAAACAGACGCTCGGACCAAACTTCAAGCACTTACGATGAGGGGGCGAATCTATTTTAATGAAACTGTGCTCGCACAGGCCTCGAGTTGAAAATTTATTTATCTTCTACAATTTACATATTTGCAATTTATCTGAAATTTAATCCTATGTTTCGTATATTTTGCAGTTTATTTTGTTATCTGTGATTCATGTAATTTATAGATTATTGTCTATTCGTCAAAAGAAAAAGAATCGAAAAAAAGTTATTTTGCTAACAGTTTAATAAGTGCAAATTCGGTATATTTAAGATACATATATGATATTTTTATTTGTAAGTGCAAATTCTGTGTTATTTTAGTTATGAATATAAACAGTATATGCACAATCTGTATGTGAAAATACGGCATATATGAAAAGGATAAAGAAAATATGTACACATATGGTCAAATGCATATACAGTAAGGTACAAATATGGTAAGTTACCTGCAAATACGGTAAGCTGCATATATGGTATGCTTAAAATCGGTATCTAAACTACATATACGGTATATGATAATTCGGTTTCATTAACACTACCATATTCTAACAAAACTAAAACAGATTCTTAAGAAAAAAATTGGTTTCTTATATTGTTAATTTAAGAAACTAATTTTTTTGTTTGACTTTTAGAAATGGCAACCGAATCGATCAATATAGATTTGACCCAAAATGTGCCTACTGAAAATCAAGTTGTGGGCTCTGCTGTGGCTCAAGGGCCAATCTCTGTTGTGGGTCAAACTGTGGCTAAATTGTCAAGTCATGTTATGAGTCAAACTGTGGCTCCAACAACTGGCCATACCGTGAATGTTCCGGTTAATCATGGAGAAAAATCGAAGAAATTCAATGACTTGAATTTCAAAAGTTGGCAGCAGAAAATGCTATTTAACTGAGTACTTTGAATCTTGTGAGATTCTTGACTGAGACTGCTCCAAAACTCAATAAGGGTGAGGGAGATGTTCAAGCAATCAGTGCACTTGATACTTGGAATCATTCGAATTTTCTGTGTCGAAACTATATTATGAACATCTTAGTAGACACACTATACAATGTGTATAATATTATGAAAACTGCTAAGAAGGTGTGGGAGTTTCTGGAACGAAAATATAAAATTGAGGATGCTGAAGCTAAAAAGTTCATTGTCGGCAGATTCTTAAATTATAAAATGGTGAACTCCAAAACAGTTATCAGTCAAGTGCAAGAACTTCAAGTGATTCTTCATGAAATTCATGCCGAATGGATGATGTTGAGCGAAACTTTTCAAGTGGCTGCAATTATTGAAAATTTTTCCCCCGCATGGAAAGATTTCAAGAATTAATTAAAGCACAAATAAAAGGAAATGAACGTCGAAAAACTAATTGTTAGACTTCAAATTGAAGAAGATAACAAGAGTTCTGAAAAGAAGTATTTTAATCCTGGTATGGCTAAAGTCAATGTTGTGGAGTTTGGTCAAAGTAGTAAGATCTACAAAAATAAGTCTGGGTCATCCGGTGGCAAAAGGACCAAGCAAGGACCGAAATGTGGAATTTCTAAAGACGAAATTTCAAGGAAAATGCTTTAATTGTGACAAAGTGGGACATAAGTTTTCGGACTGCAGATTGCCAAAGAAGAAGAAAAAATCAAATATGGTTGACTAAATGGCACAAGATGTGTCGGAGCTAAATTTGTCAGCCGTCATTTCTGAAGTGAACATGATGGGTTCAAACCCTAAAAAGTGATGGATTGACACTGGTGCTACGAGGCATGTGTGCTCTGATAAGGAGTTACTTGCAACGTTTGAAGCAATTGAGAATGGGAAAAGTTGTTAATGGAAAATTCAACGACTTCTGAAATCAAGGGTCAAGGAAAAGTGATTCTGAAGATGACCTCGGGAAAGAAGCTGATACTTAACAATGTACTATATGTGCCGAAAATTCGCAAGAACCTAGTGTCCAGCCGCTTTTGAATAAGCATGGTTTTTGCATTGTATTTGAGTCAGACAAAGTTATTTTGTCGAAAAGTTAAATGTTTTTCAGAAAAGTTATGTTTTCGATGGTATGTTTAAATTGAATGTAATGGTTGTTAAACTAAAAAT